GAGAGAGAGAGAGAGAGAGAGAGAGAGAGAGGGAGAGAGAGGGCGGTGGAGAGGGATGGCCGGAAAGATTGGAGGGAGAGTTTTTATGCAGCATAAATACCGCCACCTATTGTGTAACTATTTATCTCCGCCCAATCGTATTTTCCCACGGCACTTTTTATTTTTTTTATTTTTTTTTAATGTTTCCTTTTCCGTGACGATATCTCACTAAAAAGTAATAGTGAGACTTTTAAGTTGAAGCTTTTTACCAATTTTGGCAAAGAATTTGCTGACTTAAATGGTGCAATGTATGTGGAGAAAACTTTATCCGTGCTTAATCAGTGGTCTCGTGTTCGAGCCCTGAGAATGTAGTAGTGTTAAAACTTTTGAGGGAGAGCTTTGTCGCCCTTGTGGTCTTACCCGACTCAATTTCGGATTAGTCGGTTCCCCTGTGGATCCGAAAACCGGAAAGTCCCTGTACCAAAAAAAAAAATGTATCCGTGCTTTGGAAAAAATGTTCAAAATTGCTTGTGATGGATAAAGCTTTGGGAGATGCCACGGTCACGTTACGGAATTTGTAACCGTTAGATCAACTATATCCGACGGGTGCATAATGATCTAATTTTCGTAACAATACCGTAGCATTTTTCTAATGTTTTATTTGAGTTGAATTGGTATGTCTAATTATAGTGATATGTAGGGATGTCAATAAAACCCATATGTTCGGGTTACCCGCATGTTTGGGTCGGGTAAACCCGAGATGATTGAGTTTCGGGTCGGGTTAGTGTAGAATTATGCTATCCAAACCCCGGGTCGGGTCGGGTGCGGTTATAGTAGGCAAATCCATTACCCGACCCGATTACCCGCAACCATTGAATTATATACACATACATATATATATTTATAACTTATAATAAATATAAAAGTACTCATGTGTTATTTTTAAAAATAACATTATCTATTATAATTTTAATTAATGATTAAATTTATTTTATTTTTGATGATTTGTATAATAAAAAAATATTTATTTTAAATGTTATAATATTAAATAGACTATAAAAGATAAATAATCATATCTCATTATTTATTCCAAAAATAATATATTTTTTTATAGTTTTTTATTGTCAAACTTAGTTAATAAATTATTTCTTACATTATAATTAATTGTGAAATTATTTTATTTTATTTTTTCATATGAAATGAGATGGGTCGGGAAAAAGCTAAATTTAAGACTCGGGTTACCCATTTACCCGACGAAACCCACTAACATGCCGGGTAAAACCCAACCCGAACCCGAAAATCACTAGCCGAGTAACGGGTCAGGTTTGGGTAGTGTAAATTATATGCGGGTCGAGTTTGGGTTTGCCAAAACCCGTACCCAACCCCACCCATTTACATCCCTAGTGATATGTCACTCGTAGTAGCTCAGTGAAACAGTTAAAGATTTATTAGCTCACATTAGGGGTAAGCATGGGTATGTCTAGTTATAAGGAATTGGTATTTAATGCATTGCAAATATACTAGTCAATGTTTTTAGGGTTAATTGCATTTAAAATTCTAACCTTTTTGTGTAATTGCATATAAAACTCAATTTTTTTTTTCAATTTGGCAAAAAAATACCAAACCTTTACAAGTGTTGCAATTGTGTCTCAAAATCAGTTTCCGGCCATACCAAACCTTGAATAAGATGACTGGAAAAGTCGTCGTCGGAAAAAGTCACCGGTTCCGGCGAAGGTGGACGTCACTAGATGCGGCTTTGCGAGAGAAGTTCAATGGTACCTTCGGATTCACATGGGTCAAAGCGAGTCACCAGGAATTTGCGAAAGAACGCCGGAGAAAATTGGAAGATCTACGATTTTGACCAGAAAATTGGAAGCCTTATTATCAGAATTTTTTTCGTAAAACTCGGATATGTTGTCGGCACGGAGGAGAGTTGCAAGATCATGTAAAAATTTTTAACATCCTGCGAAGTCGCCCGACGGCGGGTGGCGGTTGGCGGCGGCGGTCTGGCGGGTGAGACACAATTATAATATTTATTAAAGTTTTGGTATTTTTTTTGCCAAATTGAAAAGATTGAGTTTTATTTACAATTACACAAAAGATTAGGATTTTAAATGCAATTAACCCATGTTTTTAATAAATGTCCTTCATTTTTATTTTTTTTTAATTTTTTTTTGTTAATATAGGAAATAGGATAGTGATGGGTCTCCTCCAAGATCTGGGGTGAACATGTTGAGATGAGCTTCGATTTGTCTGAACCGCCTCTAATCGCTATAAATACCTGCAAGAACTCAACGCCGGAGAAGTTTTCGGCATAGAACCTCTGATGCTTAAGTCAGTATCGAAAAGAGAGAGAATTGCTCTGCAGATAGAGCAACAATTGTATATGAAAAATGTGTAGAGAGTGTAGACGTTAGGGTTTGGTGTTAACTTAGTCCCTTTTCCTGATCACTTCTTAGTCAGATCTGGGTCAGCTTGAGATTCCATCTTATCATTTGGAGATTCATCTTGATCCATTAAGCCCTTTGAATACTGAAGTGGCATGAGTTACAAGGCGCCTCGAACTGTGAGGTATAGGGAGTCGACCTCTAGTAATGGAAGGCCGACGTAGAGCCATCACGCTGATGTATATCTCAGGTCTCGCCACTTAACCCTAAGTCGTCCATGGGTTCTTGATGCAACAAGTCGACATCGAGTTGTGAGGCCATGGAATCGTCCTCGAGTGGCGTGAGGTCGCCACTTCCCTGAACTAATACGAGTTACTTCACTTTCGCGATAGATAATTTCAGTCTTCGCTCTCACTTAAACTGACATTGTCATAGATCGACATAACATCTTGGTCGAGCTGTTGTAATCGATTTACCCAAGTATGGCTATATCGGATAGGTATGTAAAAATTCAGCAAAAGGTTATTGAAAAGAAAAACCCCATGGAATGGATTGTGGAATGTGTTTCAAATTTCATTTGAAGGGCAACCTTACAATACATAATACTATGATTTATTTTGGACCAAGATATAGTTTAGCAAACTGAAGGGGGTAAAGTTGAGATAAGCATATAGTTAAGGGGTTTGAGTTATATTATAGTCACGCAAGGTGAAATCGACGACCCCGCATGCTTTATTCAAAGATTTACTGCTTCACACTTTAGCATATTATTTTCAGTAACCTCCCTCCGATCTGTATCTTGCAGCGTGCTTCTTCTAGGGTTTTCAATTTTTCTTTCCTCCTTCGATTTTATATTCTTACCAATCGAAGCTTTTGAATTGGGGAAAAATTCGCCGGAATGAAGCTCACTGTGAAAACTCTCAAAGGTAGCCACTTCCAAATCAGCGTTCAGCCAAATGACACGGTCTTCTCTCTTTCTCTCTCTACCTTCTTGCATATATGCATACGTGTGCGTGTTTCGTGCGTCTGTGTCTGTGTGTGCCATCGTTTCTGTTATACAATGGGTGTTAATCTGTGTAGCTTTTTTTTGTAGCAATGTTCTGTTCTGTTTTTCAATTTTCGCTTACCATTTTGTATAATTAAAGCATGCGTTTACTAGAAAGTATTTGGAGCAGATTAGTGGATTGTAGCTTTTTACTATTGCTTTATTCTCAAATGGGTAATGTGGTAGGTTAGTGATGGAAAGAACACTTGAAGTTGTCCAATTATCAGTAGGTCTGGAAATGGTTTAGGCTGCATCTCACGGTATGCATTGCGCACTCTTTTAGAAAGGATATCCTCTTTGACTGATGCAATCATATTCGATTTTATAATGAGCTCTCTTCGTAGATCTTTACTTGTGATTCAGAATGCAAGTTTAGTTTACCTTTTTCGTTCTTGTATCAACAGACAAAGAAAGCTAATATCGTCGACTGAGGGAAATTTTTTCGTGGAATTCAAAACTACAACCCCATGAAATTTAGTTGTGAAGAGTAAATTTGTATGATTTTTTTCACTGTTAAGAAGAAAGACATTGTCTTCGGCAATACCTTGCTGGATATGAATTGTTTTCTCTGAATTTCATGACTTACTTTGATGGGTTTTTCATTTTATGCAAATTCCTTCTTTATCATCGTCTTTTAGACGTGGAGTAATATTGAAAATATTTGTCGATTATAAATGTCTTGCGATAACAGTGTCTCAAGGATGTGCCTTTTTTGTTATCGTCTAGATGGTTTTGTTATATGTGGCTGTTTACACCTGTATATCTCACTTGTTTATTGACTGATTGAGATATTTATACTAGATTATGGCAATAAAGAAAACCATTGAAGATGCAAAAGGAAAAGATAATTACCCATGTGGTCAGCAGTTGTTGATTCATAACGGGAAAGTACTGAAAGATGAAAGTACCTTGGCTGAGAATAAGGTCTCTGAAGATGGTTTTCTGGTTGTCATGCTAACCAAGGTAATTCCTAGACAATAGCCTGTTTTCTTACGGTTTAGGAGTGTATTGATATGATTAATAAGTGAAACTGAATTTAAGCTAGTTTTGGTACTTTTTGCAATTCATTTTTTGTAGTGTAACTGCTATTCAGTTCTTATTATCCCCTCCTTTCCACTCATCCTAACGCTAAAAAAAATTGTTTTTGTACTGCTACAATCTATATATGGCTACTCCACTACTGCCTGGTAGATGTAATTGATTTTTATTTCTTTTCGTTATATATGCTTTCCAAAGTTTTGCATTTTTGGTACGTATAGTTGATCAAAGAATCTCTGGTGATCTTTTATTCTTTTTGTGTGTATATATTGATTTTAGACTAAAAGCTTGGGCTCAAGTGGGTCGACTTCTTCTCAGGTATCACATATATGCACCATACATTTCCATTCTCGCCAATATTATTTGTACCTTTTTTTTTTAACTTTTTACTTCCTTTTATTTCCTTCTCGTTCCTAATATCCATAGCAGCCTGCACCTACTGCAGCAGCAGCAACTGCAGCACCAGTGAGTAATCCAACTCCTGCAGCTGAAGCCCGACCATCATCACCGTGAGTGCCATACTTCCATAATATTAGATGCACTGCAGTACTGTTACTAATGCTGACATATGAAACTAAAAGATGTTAATTTGTTATTGTAGTCTCCCTAATAGCAGCAGATCCGCTTCAGTTGCTCCCTCAAGCAAGTATGTTATTTACTTTTTTGTTTAAAGATCTTATTTTTCTAAATATTCGAGCAAAATTCGTGACTTGTGACTTGTTAGTTAAAGCAGGAAATAAAAATACTTACAAGTTAGTGTGATGTATGCTTGCAGCAGCCCTTTGGACCCTTATGCTCAAGCTGCTTCAAATTTAATCGCTGGCAATAGTCTCGATCAAACCGTGCAACAATTAATTGAGATGGGAGGTGGCAGTTGGGATAGAGAGATGGTTACTCGTGCACTTCGAGCTGCATATAATAATCCAGAGCGAGCTGTGGACTACCTGTATTCGGTATGAATATCAGAAGATTAGTCTTTCGTGTTAGAATATTTTTAAGCATATTGGTGTTTGGTAAAATTTCAGCTGAGGGTCCGAATATTATTCGTGGTCCCAACCTCCCAGCTTGTGGCTTAATTTTCCAAGATTTTCAAGCCGGGCTGCATTTAATTTTTTACCTCCTCAAATCAGGACCCATTCACTTTTTGTTTTTCCGGAGACCTGATTTTCAATTTTTTACCTCAACTGGAAGCTTAATTTGAGCCTTTGGTTCAACATACAAAAAATAATTTATACGCCAGAATGAGATTAAAACACAAAATTCATGACCTAATTTGAAGATAAAATTAAATTATATTTGAGCCCTGGTTTGAAAACCTTTAGAAACTGGCACCTGTTGAATTTTAATTTATCAGGGAATTCCGGAGAGCCCAGAAGTTGCCGTTCCACTGGCCCAGCCAGCAGTTGATTCTGTTAATGTGACTGGTGCTGCTCATGCCGCACCTGCTTCAGGGGCACCAAATTCATCCCCATTAAATTTGTTTCCTCAGGTTTTTGTTGTCATCTTAAGTGTGCGTATTTTAGCATGTTTATTTTGTTCTTTATGTTTCACTTTTGTCTGTTGGGAATTTTATAGGAGAACGTTTCTGGTGGTGGTGTTGGATCCCTTGATTTTCTAAGGAACAACCCTCAGGTGATTTACCCTCCATTGCACTTGTAAATTATTTAGGTTACATAATATAATTTTGAGCTTTATCCATCCGCTTAAGTGCTCTTAACTAGCATCATCCTTCATTTTTTATCAATGCAATCATCTCCCTTCCCCCACCCCCCCATCCTTTTTTTCTCCTGCAAAGTGTTTCTAAGTTTTCTATTATTTTTTAAAGTGGAAGTTATTTTGACAGTTTCAAGCAGTGCGTGCTTTGGTTCAAGGAAATCCACAAATTCTTCAGGTACACATTAGCCTTGGTTATATATTGTATTTGCATGTATTTTTATTACTTTGTTGTAAACCCAAACTTTAATTCCTCATTTTCGTAGCCAATGCTTTTGGAGCTTGGAAAGCAGAATCCTTCACTATTGTCGCTCATACAAGAAAACCAACAGGAGTTCCTCCAATTAGTTAACGAGAACGTTGATGGTTCTGAAGGGTGAGTGATTAACCGCCGTCCTTCATCTTTACTCTTGCAAATCAACCGAATGCAAATATTTGTTTGCCACATGATATTATAATCCTTTTCATTAAACAGTATTTTAACTGTGTGTTTTCATTACAGTCTAATCAAATGAATTGATATATGAAGTCGAAATTTAATAATCCTTACAAAAAAATTAATTTGCCACATCAACTGTTATGAATTCTTTTTACTTTTCCAATGAAAAATGTTTTCACCTCATCTCTTTTTAATGGAACCCCCATGCTTTGATATGGATGTGCTCTTTAGCTCCAACGAGCACTTTGCTGAACTGTTATATGCTTGGTTATGAAAATAATGATCAGTAGATTTTGGAAGTGCGTGCATTAGTTGTGTTGATTGTTATAGATTTCATTTCTTTTCTCTTCCACATGAATACATGATAGACTAACCCATCTTGTTTTGGAACTGCATTTATTTATAGGGATATATTTGATCAAGGAGAGCAAGAAGACATGCCTCATGCTGTTAGTGTCACACCAGAAGAGCAGGAGGCTATTGAAAGAGTGCGCAAACCACCCTAAACCCTTTATTTTTCTAATTTTCTCTCATGCTGACTACTTGTTGAATATTCTTTATATGAATTTTAATTACCATTCTTAATTAATATAAATTTTTAGATGGAGGCGATGGGTTTTGACAGAGCTCGTGTTATTGAGGCCTTTTTAGCATGCGAACGGAACGAAGAATTAGCAGTCAACTACTTGTTGGAGAACGATCGAGATTTTGAGGAGGATTGAGACCCCTTTTTAAACTAACATTCGTTCGACAATTTTTTGCTTACGCAGGTATCCTTGAGATTTGATCTGTTGTGCCCTGTGTGACTTTGGTTATAAATTATAAGAACTGTTTTTCAGTGGTTTGGTTCAGACTGAGAAGATGCGTTAATGATGGACATGAATCGGTGTTTCAACGCTTAATTTTCTCATAGGGTGACTGTAATTTTTATTTACTTTATTTATGTTCTGTAGAATTTTGAGATGAAAGTTGTGGAGACTAAACTTAAAAAACTACTTGGTTTGTCCTTAGAAAAGATTATTGTTTTTACATGATTAATTGGTACTTATTTTGTTCACTTTTGTTTTGCTGTTGACAAATTCTCAAGCACCGTGGATCGCGAGCTCGAGAGAACAACCTAGTAACATAATTTAGAGGCATATTAATATTACATCCATTGTTTATTATACAGTAACAATTTATCTTTCAGCTAATACTTTTCTAAGTAAAAATGAATTTATATCACATCCATTACACGGTTAAAACTTCATCGTTTCATAATTTTTGAAACTTAATCCCACATCGATACAAGTCACTGTATGCAATGCTCCAATTTAAACATTTCAAAGCAATAGAGTTCAAAGGCATTCAAGATACAGTAATAGGGGAAAAATGAGGTACACAAATAAATTCTATTGGTCCATAACACACAGCCAGGTCTGAGAGCTACAGCTACAAATCAAAGACCCTCAAAAAACCTCAAATGGTCTTCAAATGTTTCCCCCTGTCGGATTTTGGATATGGTCCCGTCATCTTCAACCTGAAGGTGAGCTCAACTTAAGTGTCTAATCTAATCACAGAAAATAGTACAAGAAAAATTTTCATAACTTAGAAATTTCCCCTTGAAGTTTTATGAACATCCCTCTTGACAGCCATACGTGCTTTGACTTATTACTAGTGGCAACTTTGTAAAAGAACAAAAACTCAGAGCATTTTGAAACAAATTAAATCTTTATATTAATTTTATTTAGGAACATATCTTGATCATTATATTTTTTTTATTTAATCAAATGGACATTAAAGGTATTTTCTGTCATTAACCCTGAAATTCAAGTGAAGGCACATCACAATCACATGTTCCTTGGTAGAAAGCAAAAGAATCAACAGGAAACAGTGGGAAAAGACGAATTGAAGAAAGAAGAGGAAACGAACCCAGTACTCAGGTGGACGCATCTTGAGATTGTAAGTCGAAGCCATGCTCATGCAGTAAGCACCAGCATCATGCACCACCAATCCAGCACCCTAAAGAAACACACCCCGACCATTATATTATACAAGATGAAAATAATGAGAACCGTATATGATGCTATTTTTAAATTTAATGTGATCCTTTTTTAATATATTATAGTGTTGTTTTTTTTTTTTAAAAAAAAAATACTAATTTAAAATAGCACCAAACAAAATTAATCATAGTACTACACAAACCATAGTTAAAATAGAGTTCTCACTATTCTTACACTAGGGATTATAGGGCTACAACTACAAAACATTACCTTAGGTGGTGCAGGTAGTTCCCTGTCTTTACCCAAGAAATCGGCAGATTCACAGACGGGACCCACCACATCAAAAGTGGATATCTCAGCATCCGGTGGTGTAGGCGAAACCAGCTCAATATGCTGGTACAAAAAATAAAAACCGTGAACAATATTCTCAAGGCGGGGAAATCGATTATAAAAATAGAGAAAATTTGGGTGGCTGGAGCAAGAGTGCCAAGTAATAAAATGCAGAAATGCAACTGGGGATATGATTTACCAGTAAAACAAAATCGATAGATTTGTTAGGTTAACTATGCTAGTGTGTGCTTTTATTTTAATTGTTTCCAGCAGGTGTCGACGAAACAAGCTATTACTCAAAATTTCAGATGTCCTTTTATATTTGATTATAATTTGCTAATTAACTCTTCAATTGGGGATATAGAAGTATATAAACAACTACAATATACTTCAACAAAGGTATCCATTTTATCCAGAACCTCACCTGGTAAGCTCCGTATAAACTTGGACGAATAAGCTCTGCCATGCTGCCATCAACCACAATGAAATTTTTTGTCCCGTTAGTTTTTACTCCAGTGACATGGTTGACAAAGCAGCATGTGTTGGCAATGAGTGATCTTCCAGGTTCGATTATGAGATTGAGATTTCGTGAAAGGACCAATTCGCGGACCTAATAGAAAACAAGCAGATTTTAGGTATATGAGAAATTTTTCATAGCAATTAGTCAATTACACAAAGTAGCACTAAACTCTGGCCTCATTAAAATAAAAACAAATTAATAATAATAATAATAATAATAATAATAATAATAATAATAATAATAATAATAATAATAAAAATCAAAATCCAATTATTTCTCAAAGATCGCATGTATTCCCTTCGTCATAACAACTTTACCTTACAAGTTTAACACTTCCTAAAGATATCTGCCATTGACATTGACATCTCTTTAAAAATTTGTACAGAGGGAGGATAATTTTGGCCAGGTAAATACAATCCTTTGGTTGCAACAATTGAGTGTTGTGTGCATTTGCAATTAGGCTCAAATCTCTTTGTCAATTGTAATCACACCATATGAAAGGTGGCGTTGGTTAAAGAAATTAACGACTTGTAAGCTGTATATAATTTTCCTTATTTTTGGAACAAGTAGAATAAAAAAAGAGAACATACAAGTTACAATATTCAAAGCAAGATAAATAAGAAGTGGCATGACATACAGTGTCTATAAGGTCTCTAGGAGTAGGAAGGACAGCTCCTGTATGATAATAATCAATCCCCAGACCGCCTCCAATATTCAAATAACTTATTTCAAAACCTTGCGAACGAATCTCGTCAATGTAATTCACCATTAAAACAGCAGCATCTCTGAAAATGTCTACCTGGAGAGTTATTCAATGCCAAAGTCATTATGAACACAATCAATTGTTATAGGTGAATATGAGAAAAGACCAGAGATTATGACGGTGAAAAAACAGCTATTGAAGGGAACAGGGCATCGCGTGGAAAAATGAAACAAAGAAGGGTGCATCAAGCAAATACCTTAGTGATGGTAGAACCAAGATGACAGTGGGCACCAACGAGTTCCAATTCCTTAGGGTGTGCTTTCACAGCATCTAAAAACCACTGAAGCTTCTCGTTTCTAATACCGAACTTTGAATTCTTATTTCCGGTGGCAACATATGGATGGACCTAAGTAATGCAGTCTGTAGGTGTCAAGCCTCAAGTACACAACATGCTGGCAATATCCTTAATCTTAATAAATACGTCATAATTGCAACAGATGAACCAACGTTACGCTTAGCAGGAAATCAGACTCGTAAAGAAGGCATCAGAAAATTGGGTAAATATACAGCCCAAGTACAGTTTTTGTATCAGGACTAACAAAAAACCCAAAATATAGAATTTGAAATTTTTTAAACCATCTACTCTTCTTGTCCAACCTTGAGAGGAAGTTTGAAGATAACCACTACAATTTCCTCATTATGAACCACAAGAAGTAATTTCACTAGATAAAGCCTCTTGTTATCAAATAAGATGTTCAAGTGACAACAAATAACTTAAAAAAAGGCGAGCAATATCAGAAGTAGTACGTCAAAGTTTCAAGAATTTCTAATTATGCAATTCAAAATCAAATACGACTTCGAAACACTTTCATGCACTGAGTCTCTATACCTGAGGATCAACATCAGGATTAATACGTAGCAACACATTGACCTTCTTTCCAGCAATTCTTGCGGCATGGACAATGTTTTCCAAGTCAAACTCACTGTCAATGTTCACAAACACACCTTCTTGGGCAGCCAACACCAAATCCTCCACAATTTTCCCATTTCCATTAAAGACACACCTGCATTCAAATTTACGCACAAATTCATCTCTAGGTAATATTTCTGGAGTTAATACTAGGCTACGTATAATGTACAGTGGGGGTTTAAAACATAATAATAAAAGCTTCTAAAGAGTGACAGCACATTTTGTATGTCAGAAAGAAGTTTGCTCTTTCTAACCCAATTTGTCTAATGGTAGTAATAACATGAAAAGTTTGTATTTCTTGACCTTCTTGACATTACATTTGAAGAATTCCCTTGTTATATAAAAAGTAAGTATACACAAGGCGATACAGTGTCAAGTGTAAACACGTTCGGGGCTAGGATTCTCAAACTTCATAGAATAAACTTTCTGCAAGTCCATTTTCTGTTGCAGATTAAGAGCAGTCACCGTCACAAAATGCGACCATCTAGAAGCCATCGATACCTTCCTATATTATTAACAAAAACTTACAGAATATAATGAGTAACTAAAAGAAAAACATATTAGGTGCAAAACTTCGTACGCTTCATAGCATCTACCGCCTAAATTTGAAGTCTTTTGAGCTGTTATAGAATCAACTAGCTTGTACATAGAATATTGAGCCTTTTTAGAGAATCAACTACCTTGTTGGATCAAAACCAGCACGCAGAGCCAACTTAAGCTCATTCCCACTGACCAAAACAGCCCCACACCCCAACCTCTGCAAATGCTCCAAAATCTTGAGATTATTATTCGCCTTAATCGCGTAACCTATAATCGAGCTCAAACCCTCCAGCGCCTCTTTATACGCCTCGACATTCCTCGTAATCTGGGGCTTGCTGTACAAATAGAATGGCCTTCTGTCGACCACCTCCATGATTTCTTCAACCTTAACCCCCTCGCAGTACAAGAATCCATCATCGGATTTCCTGAAACAATGCTCGAATTTCTGGGTATTGGGTTCTGATGGGGATACAACGGCTTTTGGCAAACAGGCAGCCCGCATAGAAGTAGTTAAGTTTCGGGATATGGATTTGAGCTTGAATGGTAGAATGCGGTTTGCGCAGACGGGATTTGGAGAGAAACTAACAAGGGATTTTGAGGAAAAGGCTGAAGAGGATTGATGAGGGAGGAGATTTGAGGCTGCCATTAGTGAAGGAAATGAAGGAATTACGAGCGACTGTAGAAACTGGAAACTGTGCTGCAGGTGTAGGGTTTTAGGAACAAAGATTTTTTTT